TAAAAAACATACATTTTCTTATTGGTATCATGTAATACCTCCTAACAATAGCTGAGAAGACGAAGTCACATCAAATTTTCTATTATAGAATAAATTACTGGGTTCATTTGTCAATAAACATTTCAGGTTGTTTGCAGGACAGAGGTGAGGGGGGTAGAATTTAATTCTTGGTGTAAGACTTTCCCCAGAAATATTTTGTGTCAACACAATAAAGTTAATGTCAGGTCAGATTGTAATGTAAACTGTAAATTTCATTACATTAGCAACTTCTCTCTGGGTAGATTTTTTTTTTTATAAAAAATAAATAAATGAAGAAAGAAAGAAACAAACAAAAAGTAGTGGGTTTAAATGAAATTTCATTTCTTAGTTATATAGAAATAAATGACAAACAAATTTACAAAAATGATAGACATTAATAAGCATTTCGGTACTGAACCATTTACAAAAGAATTTACATAAGAAGATAATACATACACACATCTCTTGTGTGTAACAGAGAAAAACAATTCTTTTTTTTTTCTATTCCCTGTTGAAGTTATGATGTTTTGTGGTTGGAATGTTTCAGCTCTAAACAATATCAAAAGAAAGCTTCTGGTTTGTTGGATGATTCACTGTTAGTGTGAAATTTGCTGATATGGACCCAAAATAAATCAAGTCAGATGAGCTTCTTTGTTTTTCTTATTTGAAGAATAAAAAGACCTCAGCAAAAAGTCTAACATTTTAAACTGTGCCCCAAATATTTTGGTGTGGATGTGTCTAAATTGATCAGCACCTTCTCTAAATTCTTTCTTTTTTTTTTTTTTCCTGCATTTCTGAACAAAACTATTGAATAAATCACGAGAAGAGTTGGTCAAATTCTCTCGTACTGAAATCCTATTTACCAGTTACCTTCAATTTTTGTTGTCTGTTAGTGGTACTGAATAATTTTCTCAGTTTGAGGCTTTCTGAAATACTTTGTCACAGTTAAAACACAAATGGTAATGTCAATAATTTTAAAAAATATTAATTTTTTTTTTTTTTTTTTTTTTTTTTTTTCATTTAGTGTGTGAGTGTATGGGTGAATCATACAAAAAATTAAGAACCATTACTTCATTTATGATGAAGAAGATGAATTTGATGTTGATTATTTGGAGACAAATAAAAAAAATCTGACTATAAAAGTTAATAAAATATGATAAATTACCTCATCATGTGATTAGATGCATGTCACTTTAATATTGTATAAAAGCCAGTTTGTATTAAATTACAAATAATTTGGTATTTTTTGTTCACTTTTGTCTGAGTTTTTTTATTTGTTTGTTACTTTGAGAAATTAATAAAAAAAAATTTTGGAGAATAGATTAAAAATAAAAATACAGAAAATTCAAATAAATCATAAGCCAATAAAAAAGATGACATAATCACAGAAGTTCTCTTCTTTCTACCACATTACTTTGTTATGGCCAAAGGAAAAGGAATATAATTTTATGGCAGGTTAATTGCTATATATCTGGCATTTGCAAAGGTTTCCAGTGCCTTTCTTGTTTTTTTTGTTTGTTTTTGTTTTTTTTTAAACTGAAGACTGAATACACAATTGAAATCTTCTTCACTGGAAACTTTTGCACAGCTGTTTTCAATGAAATTCCCATCCTGGTTATACTTCCAAGAGTTTTTGTAGCAGCAACGACCAGATGAGCGAATGTTATGGCCAGCAACAAAAAAGACTGTCAGTTGTTACATCAGTCTCAAGAAAGTTTCACTGATTGCTGGTGCTCTGCACTGTCTCCCACATTTTTTTTTTAATTAGAGGTATAAAACATTTTTCTTCAAAATCAGTTGACTTACCAATCCTAAAATCAAGTTTTAATTCTTAGCATACCACAAAAAGCCTTATGTACATGTTCTACAAGATGAAATTTTGCCATCAAACTGGACACTTCTTTTGGTTCACACACACACTAATATTTCTTTAATATTGCAGACAAATTTGTTGACATGAAAATATAAATGAGAAAAATGTAGATATAAACACAAAAAATACATTTATACATTTGATTCATAATTTTTTTTTCATACTACGTTTGTTTTTTTTTTAATCTAAAAAACATAACTTATAGCGTAATCTGTCTTTCACAACGATAATCCATTCAAACATTTCGTGTTGAACAGTCAACAGCATTGACAATTTAGTCATAATAAACATTAACCAAGAGTTAGCTCCCTTGACAGATATATCAACCATATCAAATTCACTTGAATAAATAAATAAAAAAATATATAAAAACGGCCTCAGAAAGTGGCCGAAAACTGGCCGAAAATTCTTGTAAAAGTTTTTTTCAAGGTTATGATAGTGAATTTTTTATATGAAAATATATTGTATAGCAATTACAGTTCCTAGCCTTCACTATGCAATTATTTCACATTTTTATGGAATGTAAAATTAAAATCTTTGCTAACTTTTGCTCAAAATCTTGTTTCACTTAATTGAGGACAATGTGTGTGTGTGTGTGTGTGTGTGAAAAAAAAAATTAATATAATTCTAAATTATATACTTGTAGGCAATCAATATTTAAAGAGAAGCAGATGATTTTAGTCCATATTTCAATGTTTATAACATCAATAGAACATTATAAAAAAAAAAAATGAAAAATAAACACCTCACCCCAAAATTCCCACTCTGAAATGGAAAAGTGAAAAATCCATAATACACATAATTTCTCATATTTTACATATTAAAATTGATTATGAAATTTGTTTGCAATACTAATATTATCATTAAAGTGATAATTATGTGATCATTTTTATGAATATTTTTTAATAATCAAATGAGAAAGATCTAAACTGTGTTATATTAATTAAATAAACATAATTTTCTCTTTTAGACCAGTACTAAGTGATGAACTTAATGTTTGTATTTTAATAAAATGTACCTGCAAAGAAGAAAGACCAAATTTTATAAGATTTTTCAGTGTCTGATAAATTGCAATTTAAGAGGACATTAACAAAAATGAATTCATTTTTGGCAGCATCTGTTGTATGTTTTTTTTTCATTTCTTCATTCATTTTCCAATTTTAGCAAGAAAAAAGTTACTTTTATGTTTTGATGCTATAAATAAACATTGAAACATTAAGTCAACTGCTCATAAATATATCATACCAAGCTATCTTTATTTTGTTATCTATTAGATTATTGTAATGGACAAGATACTTATCAGTTTATATAATTGCAAAAGTATATGTAGACATATTTCTTTTTTGAAATCTATTCAATGTTCTCATGTTTTGTGATACTGCTTTAGTTAAATTGTAAATCAATTTTGCATTTGTGTATTTGGCTAATATCCCAAACATTAAACAACTGGAGCCAAATTTGTCAAAATTACTGGATTTACAAAATTTAAAAGTTAATTTCTTGTATTGTCTATCACTTTGAGAAGAATCATTAACCTATCCACAATTGCTTGCACTATCAAATCTCTTCTAGGTATGTTCTATAGGTTAATTTCTGTTTATAAAAAAAATATAGACATTTGCTGGATCTCCCAGTGAAGGACCTTTCCTGTGAAATGTGCCTTTTTTAAGCAATCACACAAATAATGTTTACTGTTTAATGAATCATTTGCTCAACACAATTTTGCTTATTTGTATGTAAACATATTTTCAAAGTCCTATCAAATGTTTTGGTTACAAAAAAAAAAAATGATTAATTGAGGCAGACAGGAACAAGTTTTGTAATGGCTAAAAGTTGGTTTGGAGACAACAACCTGTGAAATGTAAACATTGACTAAGCTTAGCAGTGTATGGCACAAGACCATTTGTTGTGCTGTAGCACTCTTCCAATCCAGTTGATCTGTCTACATGCAAAACCATGACCCTTACTTAGACTTGAACACCAATTACTGGTGTAGGTAGGAAATATACAGCTATCTCAAAAGAAATCTTTTAAATTATATAACATACACTAATGATACTTGCAATTTTAATGATCATCTTTATAATTTGTCTAAAGATAAAATCATAACATTGATTAGATTCAATAGTAATGACAAAATTAAGTTTTTAATAGGACACATATGTTTACATGTATATATAATATAACTGTATATTTGTAGGTAATTAGATTGTAGATTAAAAAGAAAATGTATTGCAGCTTGTTGTGATTTTCATGTTTATTTGCATCATCTAGAGAACAATGCAAGAGAAATTCCTGGAGGATAGAAATTAGTTGCAGAAAGCCAAAGATAATGATACATTCTCTATTTTTGTTGTTTTTAACATATGTCAGCTTTGCTCAAATGAAGATGGCATCTGGTGTTTTTTTTATGTGACTTGTATGCTTCAATTTTCTTTTTTCCATCTAAACTTGAAACACCACAAACTGACAATCACAGGCATGAGTGTTAGGGTTTCGTGTTTGTGCTAAGAACAGGCTAGTTTAGCAGCTTGACCAGTGGATTTGTTATGCTATAGTGTTCTAGTTTAGAATGCGAAAGAGAAGTAGAAGTAACTTTGAAAGACCACCAGATGCAACATACACCACACAAGGAAGGCTAAAAAATACAATAGGCAAAACGTTTGAGAAGAAACTCTGATGGTCCATTGAGTTAACCCAAGAAAAAGATGCTAAAAACCGTCTATAAAAATATATCACAACTGACCAAAGTAGCATAGGTTTCTAAAATCAGAATAGAAAAAAAAAGCACCAGACAATTAGAAAGAGTCATTAGAAATGTTTTGTTGACTGCTTTCCTAAATGAGAACAAATCACATCCACTCATGATGTCCTGAAGATGTTTCAAAGAGCCATCAACATATTAGGCAAATACAGCTTCTTGGCTAACCAAAATGAATTTCCTAAAGACTTGATGTTTTCCATTATCACATCCTATTCTATTTTAAGAATACCCAAGAGGTAAGGTGTGTGTGTGTATATATATATATATATATATATATATATATATATACACACACACACACACACACACACACACACACACACTTACATTTTTTTTTTGTCAGTGTCATACCCAGCTTAGGTCATCCTGTCGTAGTGTTGCTTGAAGTTTTCGCATATCTCTTAATATTCGAAGAGAGCGACCTGCAGCATCAGTGGAAGTGGCACCATGTTTGTTTATCTTTGAGATTGGCACTGACTGTGCCCTGTATAAGGCAGCTTTTTTAGAAGTTCTCTGGTTGCCGTCTTCATGAAGAGCAGCTGATGCTTGGACAGGGTTTACCTTTTCAGATTTTTTCCTTTTCATTTGTTTTTTGTCATCATTTGTCTGAAAGAGAAAACTCATTTTATACAAACATTGAAATGGACAAATACAAAAAATCTTTTATATCACAACTTGACAGTTTTCAAATAGAACAAGAAAAAACATTTTTACATCCTTGACATTATGGCCAAAATGATAAAAGTATTTTTCAGCTGTAAGTGGAATATGTACAAAAAACTGATGAACCAAGACTTTTCTTTAAATATTTTCATGGTAATTGTTCTGATGAACTTTCCTCTATGGTACCTTGACCTTATGAATTGAAATGGGAATGCAAGAATTGCATTTTTCAGAAATTTCTAATATCCAATGCTTTCATGTGGATAAACATGTTTATTTTTATTAAGTCAGCAAGTTAAGACAAGTTTTATACAAGTAACATGAATGAATCCCACATTGCTGACTCCAATAGATTTATTTTCTCTAAACATTCTATAAGATATCAATTCTCCTTACATAAATATGTTATATGCAAGTCTGAAAAACCTGTCATGTCTGAGTGCAGATAAGGATTCAAGATATTCAATGTAGTACAGCAACATTTGTCTGGGCAACAGACAATTTGTTTTTGCTTTTACTTGTTGCCCAAGATTGGAAGAAAGAAAAACAGAAGCAGGGAACTGTTTTGTTTTCCCCCAGACATTTGTGTATATTGAAAGAAAAAAAAGTCAAGATTCAAAAACAGAATATGTGGGTTGATGAACCTGTGCTGAAAAAAACATCATTTGATTCCTTTATTTTCTTGTTTCAAGTTAAAGCTGATGAGTAAACTGGATTTATGTATGCACCATGCCTTAATTAATCTTTTCAAAATTAAGAAAAATTCTGAGAGCTCACACATTTTTTTTTATTGAAATAGTCAAATGGTTGGTAATTCAGTTTTCTTGAAATGTTATGACCAGTCTTCAGATGCCCGTCACATTTGGTAAATGTCAAGAAATTGAATAGAAACCATTTATTTTGTTCAATCGCTTTCCATTACATCTAGCATCTTTCCAATCAGTCATTCAGTTATGTGCCATGCGTGATACATGCTTAGGCGATCATGTATCTTGTGATACATGACTGACAAGGCAGATTTTTTTTCCCCCACAGTAGGTTGCCATTTCTTTCTGTGGTAGGCCAGTTGCCATCCAAGGCTATAGAACCCTGTCTCTCCTGCTATTTACCTATAGCTGGGAGGAGAAGAAGAGGATTCACACTTTTCCCAAGGGCATTAACATGTATGTGAATGTAATGGATTTGACTGGAATTTGAACTTAGCTTTCCGATTCCTCAATTCAAGCTGCTATCCATTACTCCATTGTGTAATGTTTCAATTCATAACCATCAGCTTTTCCACATACTGCCATTCTGTCGTGCCACCTGTGTCAGTGGACTCAAGTCTTACCTAAACCAGGAATTTTACCTCATGTAATTGGATAATTCTAAGCAGAGATTCCAAATCAGTGCCCCCCCTAACATTTGTCTGCCTAACAGACAAAAAAGATTTTTTATTTTCTTTTTGCTCCTCAGTGTAATTAATACAAGAAAAGTTTTTTTTTAATCATGAACATATACAGAACACGAAATCCTGATGTGCACAAACAATCAACATTCTTGATTAAATCTGAAATTCTTATTTTTATCTCAGTAGCAAAATCTTTGGTTGCCTTTTATTATCAAAGATTAGTAGTAATGTTTGGTACTGTGGTCAAAAGAAAATTAGCGACTATGTTTTGGGATGTAATTTCAGATTGGGTGTTTCTTCCCTCTACACTGGTTTCTTGGTATTTATCGTTGTTCTCTTCCTTACATCCGCTTCATCATTCATTCATTTGTTCGTCTTATGACGACTACATGTATTGTATGATGTACCTCAACATAAGACACCTCTCATCTCCACGATAGTCTATTTATAATCATTAGTCACCAATGACTTTCCTGGATGATAAACATACTAGGCATACGGGCACCTCAGAATGGAGAACTAACACACCCGGATGTCTCTCCTCAATTCCATCCAACTACGTTAATATTATGTAAATTTGCTAATGACCTAATTTCTTGTGGACAACAAAGAAAGGTCTCTTTTGACAGAATGACACACTCGCCTTCTCTCAAACTGAATTCCTACATGCCAGACAAAGACAAACTCTCTTTCGTCAAGAATAAGGCAAGTCTTGTTCACCATTTCTGCCATTTGATTCTGGTTCTGGTTCACTGTGTCTGCTACAGATACTTAATTTGATCTTTCTCTCTCTGACATAATGACAGCTCTTGTCATTTGGTCCTGACCATTTCTTTACCAGAGAAACATCAAATTCTGCATTCATTTCAAAGTCAGTTTCTCACAAACTTTCCCGTTTCTACTCTAGGTAGTTTTCAGCAAATTCAATTTTTTTCTCTCCATGTAACATTTCCAGTCGAGAGAGGGTCAAGTACTTCTTCCCTTATTCCAACTGAACGTTTCTTCATTAAAATGTCAACTGCAGTTATTCTTTTCGTATAGATGGAAACAACCATTTTTATACCTCAAAAGAACATAAACACAAATGGCCATCTTTACCATCAGCCCTCATTCCGATACTCTTTCCTGATGAAATTCAGGGCCAGTCATTGCATGTTTGATCGCATCCTTATTTTACAATTAAATATATTTTATCTTTCATTGTCAAAACTGAAGGCAAAGATCTGTTAAGTTTGCCCTTATCTGAGCATTTCATTCATTAAGTTGCAAATGTTTCTGACAACCAGATACACTCCTTATCATTAATTCTAAGTTTTAAAATGTTGCATGACATGCCAAAGAAAAGGTTTTGAATATTACATTTTGAATAGACTTACACAGAGCATTTCAGCCTCAGAAATGTTAAAGATAAAAAAAAAAAATTCTTATTTACCTTGTATATATATTTGTGAATTTTATTGATCTGCATTCCTTTGGTCTCCATCCGAGAAACAATCGCATCCAAATCTCTTTCCAAATCTGTCTTCATTTTAGGATCTAAGCATTCATTAATCTGACTTGTCAGTTGTTGGTGTTCCCTGGTAAGAAAAGAAAGGCAACTAAGTGATACAATTTCACCTAAATTACTTATGAAAGGTATCTTCTGGTAAATGAACTGGGAAATGAGGAGAATAAACATAAAAAGACAATATTTACATAGTTTTGAATTTACTGATGATATTTTAATAATATCAGAATCGCTGGATGACAAAAATACTAAATGCCCTAAATAGGTTAAGTCTGAGTGGAGATTTAAAAATGAAGGGAAATTAAACAAAAATAATAATCACATTTCAAACAAGAACATAAATATGGAAGATGAAGAACTGGAAGAAATCCAGGAGTACATCTATTTAGAATGACTAGTAACATTAAAGGAAGACCATTCAACTGAAATATAATGATGTATAATGAGTAGTTAAAAAGCATTTAACAAAAATAGAACTATAATGACAAGCATTTGGCAATATAAGTGCCTTTTTTATAAATATTTTCATGGTAATATAATTTCCCTACACAAAGACAGATAAAATGAAGATTAGAAAAGGAATGAAACAAGCAAATATGATTTTGTCTAAACTAATTACAATAGGAAATTTGAAATTATTTTCTAGAAAAATGAGCTGGGAAATGATAGAAGTAAAGACAAACACACAATATTTAAATGATTTTCAATTTATGATATTTTAGTAGCATAATTCTTGGATGAATTACAAGAAATTCTAAATTATCTAAATAGGGAAGTTTTAAGGTTGGTTTAAAGATGACCAGAAAGTAAATCAAAAGAAATATTTAACTGTAATACCCTGAAAATTATTTACACAATTTACATGTGGACTATTATCCTCATCTTTGTTGTTATCATGTGATAACAAAGATGAGGACAATAGTCCGAACGTAAATAGCACAAATAATGATAATTCCTCATCTTTGAAATTCAGATACAAAATCCTGAAAATTATAATAGAGGATAAAAAAAATGTAGATTGTTTATGATTGTTTGGAAATCATTTAATAAAAAAGAGATTCATGCACATTGCCAATATACTTCAAGCATAATGAATACATAATGATGGATGGGTAGGAAGCATAGAAATTAATAAAACTACTTGGAAACAAATTGAAAAATACACAAATATCAGTGGAAAGAGAGAGAGAGAGAGAGAGATATCAATGGGAATCCAAAAACAGAACTAAAGAAAAGATATTGCAGAAGTGATTAAAAGAGAAAGATAGACACAGTAAGAAGCAAGGATAACAGATGGAGCAAAAGGTTGCTTAATTAGCACCCAATGGATAACAGAGGCAATAGGAAAAGACCAGAAAGAAGAAATAGGATTTTTTTCTGGTAAGAAATGGCAGGATCTAAGAAATGTGCACCTCTTACCAGCTGAGTTTGCCAAATTCTTCCTGTAATTGCATGAGAAGTTCATGTAAGTCTGTGCAGACACTGGTGCTAATAGTTGAACTGGCAGTAGAACTACCAGATTCTAGATGCTGCTTGTTGGGTAAACAACACAAGGCAGAATTGTGAGCTTTCATCAGGGCAAAGACATTCTGAACATTAGCACTAACACTGTGACTTTGGGAGGTTGACTGGTAAGAAGAAAAAATATGTTTGTCAGGATTCATAATTTCAAAAATTATTTTTTTAATATTTTATTTGGGAGGAAACAAAAAGAAATAATAAAAAATGAAAATCTGAGAACATCATAAAATAGGCAAAAAAATAAATATGTCCTATCTTATTTTGTTAATATATATAGGCAATCAGTTATAATAAACTACCATCACCCCACTTTAGATGATGGCATTACTATATGAGTGCCATTCAAAAATCTCTAAGCCTCGCTCAGAATGAGTTGGAGAAACAAAAGAGTTTTTCACTATTTTTCAATGTAGTCCCCATTGACATCAATGCACTTGGTCCAACAATGCTTAAATATTGCAATCCTATCATTGAAGAAGGTGGTGTCCTGGTCCTCCAAAAACTCCTCCACAGCACATATGATCTCATTATTGTTTCCAAAATGGTGACCACACAGGTGAGATTTGAGTTTAGAAAACAGGAAGAAGTCAGATGGAGCTAAGTCTGGTGAGTAAAGAGGATGGAGTAGCAATTCAAAGCCACAGTTTGCTGCTTTAGCTACTGCAACCTGAGCAGTGTGAATAGGCACATTGTCTTGGAGCAAGAACTCACATGCTTTCTTTATTTTGCCTTGATTACTTCCTTCAGTTGTCTTAATTCAGATGCATAGTACTATCCAATAGATTACCTGCTAAAGGGAAAAACTATCATGATTACACCTTCAGAATCCTCCAAAACAGAAGCCATCACCTTGGCAACAGATCCTGCCTGAATGGACTTCTTTGGTGTTGGAGAACCAGAGGGTTTCTACTGTTTTATTCAGGTTTGAAGTGGTTTCATCTCAAGTCACGACTCTGTGGTGGAAATTCTCAGAATCAGCCTGGAAGCGAGACAAAAGTGTCCTGGAAATGTCAACTTTTTTCAGTTTCTGCTCTGGTGTCAACATTCTTGAGACAGCTTGCTCCATCCCCAAGATCTAATTTAAAATAGTATGGACCATACCAGAACGAATGCCTATGGATTTAGCTATCAGTTGGACAATAAGATATTTGTCATCCAGAACTATATGGTAAATGTTAACTTGTTCATCAGTGGTTGAGGTTTTTGGACTACCTGACTGAAGGTCATCTTCTGAACTGTTCCTATCCCACTTGAATTCCACAGCCCACTTCTTCACAGTTGCATAGGAAGGGGGAGTCCTCAGCAAGTGTCTGTACCAAGTCTTCATCGATTTCCTTGGATATCATACCTTTCTTTTGCAGATATATTATGACTGTATGAGCCTCTGTTTTGTTTTTTTAGATTAGTCACACACCTCTCACCTTTGTATGGGCCTCACCTGCACAGAAATTAAGACAAAAATCTGAATTAGTTTTTCTAGTTTTATAAGTAGTAGTGTGTTGCCACAACAAAAATGTTCGGCTATGGCTCTTCTTTCTGGGTGAGGCTTAGAACTTTTTGAATGACAATTGTAAATTTATGGAATCTGAAATAAAAATAAGTAGTTGTAGTAGTTGTTGTTGTCAGTTGTATTATTGTTGGCAACTCAATCCAATCTTTTGTTTTAAGTTAATGACATCTTTCCATATACATGCACACACACACAGATATGTTAAACAGTTTATTATTCTGAAAAGGAAAACTTGTCATTTAATGGCCATGTTTATATAACAAATCCAAACTGGTTTGATGGTCAAAAGGTCACACACATACACTTTTGCTTGATTATTTGAATCTAACCTTATTTAATACAATTACAATGCATTTGGAATAAAAAAGATTCAGTAATACTTCACTTATTAATCTGTTTGTCTTCAAAAGTAAAAAGTCAAGTTAAAATTTAGATCAAGCATCTTGTTATTTAAAATCTTAAAGAAACTAGAAATTACATTCATCTATTTATCTTAAAAAAGAAAAATTACAAGGAAATCATTTTCAATTTTATTAAATGGAAAACTTCTGTTTTAGATTCAATTGTTATAGGCCTAGTAATCCCCCCATCAACACACACACACACACACACACACACACACACACAGTTATAATAGGAAAGCCTGGCTTACTTTTCCAGCAACAAATGGAATATCTGCTAAATTTAAACGGTAATGAAGAGATGGGTCAGAACATTTTCCAGGTTTGGAAATAACTGCCTTCTTTTTCTTTGTACATCGTTTCCTTTGCATTTCACATGGTCGATTTAAAGTATCTTTCAAAACTTTACTTGTTGTCATCAATGTTTCCATCTGAAAATGAAATAGCAAAACATGTACACAGTTTTAAAACAATACATCTTGATTTATTTTACATCAACTCTTTGGATAAACTGAAGTCTCCAGTCATTAAGATGTCAATTACATTGGGGAATAAATTTCAAGTTTTTTGTCTATTGAATGAGATTTGACAGTTCTATGTAATTTGCATGTGCTGAGCACAATTTTTTTTTTAATTGGTTTTTCTCTATCAGGTCCTGATTTTGCTCAACACCCCTCCTCTTTTGTTGTATTCATAAAAAGACTTCTCAATACTCACTAAGTCTTTTTGCAGTTACACATGCAACTATGTTTTTATCTAGGTATTTGTACCTATTGTTACAGTATTCTTGTATTATGTATACTTTTATATGTAACAACTTAAAAATATTTTTAATTTTGTTATTTTTAACCATTTTAATATTAGTAAATTAAGCTAAAAATATCAGAATTCTAAAATTATCTCAAGTGTTCCTGTTTTTGTAGAATATTCTAGAGGGATAACTTAAATATATAAAAACGACTAGTTTTTGGAGTTAATCAGCCAATTCAATCAGTCAAGTTTCGACATTAACATAATGTTGAATTGGCAAACGATTTACTGAGTAATTTTCTCATCATGATTTAATAGTGGATTTAATTACATGTAATTTATATTGTACCTATTCATCCATGTTTCTAGTTTAATTTCATAGATTGTGAGTACCTATTTTATAAGTTCCTATTTAAACCAAGGCAGGAATTTTCGAATGCCCACAAATAAGAACATTAAAGACAGCAATATTCCTAATGTCATGAATAAACATGAAAAAAAAATACCTAGTTTTCTCTTTCATGGACTTGGTAGAAAAGATTTTAGGCAATAAAGAATATAATTACTAAGAAATCATAAAAAAATTTGTTAGGGACTACAAAGAGTTAAGTTGCAATATGAGCATAAAAATGCATTTTTTGAATACCCATCTTGACCAGTTTTCAAGTAATTTAAGTGATGTAAATGGCAAACAAAGGGAGAGATTCCACCAAGATATCAAAATTATGAAGAAATGGTACCAAGGCCACTGAGATTCCTGCATGATGGCTCATTACTGCTGGTGCTTGAAAAGGGATAGATATCAACAAGCAAATACTCTAGAAAGCCTTGTAAAAGAAAATTTTTGCCACAATGAAAGGTTCATATCTGTTTGTTTTTTTTTTTCATTTTAAGTCATTTCTGTTGTTATAATGTAATTTTACTGTAGTTTGAGCTGCTTGTATCCATGAAACTGGGAAAAAAAATTTAACATATTACTTAATATTTTCGTCCTAATTGGAGAAAATTTGGAAAAAAACACATAGGCTGTTGACAAGAATCAGGATCTGATAGAGCCAAGCCAAGTTGAAATTCGTATTCAGTGCACCCAAATTACCTAGAATCAAGTATCAGATATCATTCAATAAAATACATGTGCCTCAGTGTTGTCAACCTAATTTCATTAAGCTCAAATTTATTTATTTATTTTTTTTTATTTGAGTTCACCACAAGCAAAGCAATAAAGCCACTAAAACACAAGGAATTGCTGTGTGTGAAAGAATTTGAAAACAGAAACATTACTAAGGAGCAAGAACAAAAGAAGAGTAATCTGGAGGACAGTAGAAAGCGAATGACTTTGCATTTAAATTTTTTAAGATTAAAGTTGGCTGGAAAGCATGGAGTCGGAGAGGAGTTCCACAAGCAAGAAGTGCGAGAAAACCTGTTAGTATAGAACTTACGGTTACATTTAGCCAACACAACTTTAAATTGGTGAGACCTCATAGCCAGTCTAATACTGTACTTAAATCCAAAAAGTTTAGGTGCCATGGCAAGGAGATCATCCAAACAGCTGTCATGAAAATATTTATAGAAAAGGCACTGGGAGGCAACTATATGGCAGTGGAAAAGTGGTTGAAGCTGAGATGCCAGATCAGGACCAATAATATTTCTGATTCTTCTTTGGACTTTATCAAGTATCTCTAGATATATAGCAGGGGCACCCAACCATATACGGCAGCAATATTCAAAGCGAATGATAGACTTATAGATATGTAAAATAGATTCTGCAGAGAAAAATTGTCTAGCACGACACAGTGAACCAACTTTCTTAGCAGCTAACCTCGCAATGGATTCAATATAGTCTTTCAACTTCATGTAGGCTAAGAACATTAGCCCCAGAAGGTGCAACAAGTTAATCTCCTGGAGGATATTATTGGCCATGCTGATGAAAGGCAGAGAGGGGTCTCCCAGATCATTAGGAGAAAGCAGTTTAGTTTTGGAGGCACTAAAATTAAAAAATTGAAAAATCAGGCGTGGCTGACCACATATGGAGAGAAAAGGGAAATCACCACCCTCTGTTGGATCAGGTTGAGATCATAGACAAAGAACACCATTGGAAAATTAGTAAACTTAAGGAATCAGCACATATGCTAGGCCACAAAAATCTCCTGAGCCGACCAAGCATAGAAATGAATACAATATGGGAACCAGTAATAAGGAGTGCCAGAGAAAAGCGATAACAACAACAAAAATTGCAATATGAGCTCTGGTAAAAAATGATTGCTGAAGACATTAGGTTTATAATACCCAGAAATTCATACACAGATGTCCTCAAGGACACATGGCACAGTGGATAAAGGTGTTAGTTAGTGACAGGCCCCAAAGAGTGAGTTCAATACCCAGTTAAGGCAGTGGGGAGGGGAATTAACAGGAGATAACTGATAGCTGACATCCATCAAACATGGCACGTGGAACTAGAACACTCTACACCAGTGAGCGAAATAAAGTGTTCAGTTCGACATTCCAACCACCTGAAGAAGGCCGGAGCGTACAACGGCCAAAACGTTGTAATAAATATGGCAACAAAGATGAGGACAATAGTCCAAATAATGTAAACAATATAAATAGTGCGCTAAAATTAATAAGCCATCATTTGCCCCAATTAACAACAAACTGAAACTCGTTTATAATATCAGCAGCCAATTTAACTTTATCGGACTGATCAGACTTAGTTTTGAGACAGGTATAAATGGTTGTGTCATCAGCATAGATACCAAGTTGAGAGCTGATACCATCAGGGAAGTCGTTAATGAAAATTACAAACAATGTAGCACCAAGGACACCTGCATTAGTGCAAAATTATCTTGAAAAGTGGCCATTCAGGATAACTCTCATTTCACAATTTGATAAAAAAAGACTGGGTCAGATAGAAAATTTGGCTGGAAACACTAACATTTCAACCAAAAGTATTAATTTGATGCTGCAAAGTTTGGAACAATCATTTTTTTTCTTTGTTGCTCTGTACAAATCAAAAAATTTTGTTCAATTTAACTAAAGTTTATAATAAGATAAATTTTTGTTCAAGTGTGTTATGAATACACTGTAATAGGTGCACAGGATTGCCTCATCAGTGATGTTATGACTTGGGATCATGACAAGTTTCGGGTTTTTCAACATCATAATTGTTCACCCAAGAGACCCTACCAAAACAATACCTATTCTGGCAGGTGATCCTGAAGCAAATTTCCACCAAGCACACAACAACGAACAAATAAATAACTAAGTGTACTACAATAAAATATGACAAATTTTTATTGAACATATAAAGTTTAATAAAAATTTGCCACTTCAATTATCTAGAATATTGACATTTATGAAACAATATATTGTGTGTGTGTGTGTTCGCAAGACTTTCAACAGCACACAGATAGCCATAGGCAGAGTGCATGATACTATATGTAGAATAATTTCTTCAGGGTAGGTATGGTTTGAAGCTAAAACCAATAAGGTTTACAGTCTATCCAACACTTATCCATAGCAAAGAAGATAAACATCAATTTCTCATTTTCAATTCCTATACAATATCGTAAGAAACTGTTAAGTCTTTGAAATAGTTGCCAAGAATTATACATAGAATCTGATCAAAAGTTATATTTTTACAATATGCCAATTTTGTACATTAACTACAAAGAAAAGCATTATTTTTTTTTTTTTTATACAGAATGTCTTTAAAAAAATAAAATAATGAGAAAAACGAAATTTAACAATGATGGACAATTTTGTTGAAAAGCTTAAGGTCAACATAAGAATTACATTTTACTTACTTTAGCTGCTTTTTCTTTGAGAAATGCCTTTTGTTTTTGTTCTTCTTTTAATTTCTGTTCAAGCCTTTTAATTCGGTTCTGAAAAGTGATTAAAATAAAATTTTTAAAAACACTTGAACATGAAAAATTTGTCTGGCATTCAAAATTGACCAGACAAACTTTGCTTGACCAGTGGGCAAGTAGAGAAATCTGAAGATTATCAAATAAAATGTTTGCCAAAACATAATTTACCCCACACTCCATTGCACACACAAAAAAAAGGAGAGGGAGGTGAATAATTAATTACCTTATCAAGTTAGATCAGTGATGCTCTTAAATGTGCCACAAAATATGGTCATGGCATACTTATATATATATATATATATATATATATATATATATATGTGTGTGTGTGTGTGTGTGTGTGTGTGTGGAAGTAGTAATAGTACAGCATTAGTATTTGAATAAATTAATAAGTATTAAACTTTGTTTTTCAAATAATTTTTTCACTATTCTTTGATTAGGTTATTTTAAATACTTTGTTTTAATATTCATTTATTAAAAAGTATTATTATTATTTTTTAAAATTTTCCTTTATTTGAATAAATGAATATTAAACTTTTTTTTATATAACTGTATTCAACATTCTTTGTTTAATTCAAAATTTATGCTTTTATTTCATAACATTTAAATGTATGCCCTTTAAAGATTTTGCTAAGTGTGCCATGATATTTTTATTTGCTCTGAGGTGTGCTGTTGCTTAAAAAAGTTGAGAAACACTGAGAAACATTCAACCGAAGAAGGTAATTTAGAAACTGTTACTTAACATGTTGTATAAAACGTTTTGAAACATAAATAAAAATGTCTTCAGGGTTTTTATTCTATAAATGACTATAAGATTTAACTAATTTATCAATGGCCATGATAGTCTATGTTATTTATATAAGTTGAAAACAATACTAAGAAAAAGAAATTCAGGCTTGAAAATTTGTGCTTTAAAATAATAGTTTGGATACAAAACAATAAGAGTAAATGATCTTATAATGTGCAAATTTTCATTAAAAAAATTGGATTTAGTTTCTGAGGGTTTTTTTGTCAGCAAATACATGAAAAAACTCATGGATAAAACAAGAATTAAGAATAAATTAGTTTAGTTTGAGAAACAAGTTCAACTTTGATACAACAGTATGGCACACTAAACAAGGAGTTTATTTATTTATTCAATCAATCAAGTTTTCATAAAATAACAAAGAAAATATTCTGCTGACCTGAATTGTTTAATATATATATACATTTATCTATTGTGTAGATAAATATGACTAAAATGACATAAGTTATAAGTGCCAAGTCATAACATGTCACTCACTTGAGCATTATTACCAAAACTAGTTTGACCTTTACAATTTCAGCAATGTCGAATGGAACTTGTTTTCCTTAATGTCTGTCATCTCAGAAAACTTAAATATTAATTAAAAACATTCACACTTTGCAGATATTTCATATCTTACAAAAGCATATTGCATTTTGTTCACTTGACTTTCTATTTGGACCAACATCTTCAGCTTTATTGATGTTAACAAAACATTTTATCAGAAAACATTTAGAGAACTTAAGAAAAAAATCCTGGATGCTAATCTAAACAGTTTGGCCTTGGTTATTTTCTTTCAACAGATTTAAATTTGCCATTATTTATCATTACTATTTAAATGATTCACTTTTTGGGGATAAAATATATATGTGTCATGGCATAACTTAAGGACAGCAGTTGTTAATCTGGTTACCAAATTTTCTCAGATTACTAATAGGTCACTAGAACATCCTTTTAGCATATTAATTTTTGCAAAGTTGTAATAGTAAGGCAGTTCAATTCATAATGGAAGTCTAATTCTAAACTGAACCCTTTTTTTGAATCCATTGTGAATTAATCATTATCTTTCTGTTTAACTGTTAAGAGTGATTGTTTAGCTGAAATCTTTCTAGCCAAAGACCAAAGTTATGACTTTTTTCATTCACCAAAAAAATCAAGACTTAAAAAAAAAAAAAAAAAATGTTGATGCTGCATTTATATTTTTAATAAAAACAATGGCCACCAGAGAGCCATAAACATTATTCTCTTGATAGCGTTTATTAACCTAGAAGTCCTCAAAAAGATATAGGACACTTATGCCTGTTTATTGATGCAATAAAATGCAGCAAAAAAAAATTTAAAAATCTAGATTTTCAAAAAAATGTCAGCAGTTGAAATCTCTTGTGCTTTTCACCCAAATATCATTCAAGACTTCATGATGGTTATGATTTTTCAAATAAGATATCAACCAATAAAAAAACATTTGTGATCTCTGATTTAGGCCTTTCTCAGGAACTAGTTTCAAAATCCCAGCTGTAGGACAGATTTTCAGTTAGTTATCCTAATTTGCAATAGTCTTTATGTATTTATTGGCCACAGAAGAGAGCAACCAAGAGAATACCAATATTTCCTTAGCTCACCTGAGGAAAGCACAAAATCACAAATGTGGGGCACCCAGTGAGGAGTAATAATCTGCAAAGAGAACTTGATAATCATTGTTCCATGGCAAGGTACTCACTGTGTTGGATTCAAGATCAATGTTGTTGAATGTTTCAAAAATTCTATCAAAATACACAAAGAGAAACACAAGACAGATTTCACTCTGTTCAGCCTTATCAAAAGCTAACACCAATCAGTTATTAAGCCAGCTTTATAAAATGTCAAGTAAACACTCTAGACCTTATAATTGCAGTGTACTTCTAGCTATGGTCTAACACACAGGAAAATGTGGGAGCTGATATAAAATTCCAAAAAAAAAATATTTGCTTACTTCAGCAAGTTTTTGTGTCACAGTCAATTTTAAATGGTCTCTTTCTAATTCAGCAATTTTATCCAGTGAAACAGATTTGGGTAGCATGCCACATGTCTGTGGATTCATGCTGTAACCATTTGCATTCTGTTGTTCCTTCTGCCTCTCCAGTTGATCTTTATTCACTGATGCATCATTCACCATCTTCTTCATGTATTCCAATTGTTTCTCCAGCAGCAAACATCGATTTTCAGCAGCATTCAGTCGCAGTGTCACCTCTAACAAGAGAACAAATGTTTTCCATTAAAAGGTTTAAATAGAGAAACAAAGACAAATTAAAAAGCAGCTTTGCTCATTTTCTCACGAGTAGTAAAATAGCACCAATTAAACTTACTTTGCTTGTGGCTTTAAAGTTCTTGACCATAAGAAATGTAACTGACACAGTAAAACCATCAACTTTAAACCTGGTTACTTTTAAAAGTTTTCAGATATTGTCAATAGACAAAGTAAACAGATAAAAAAATTAATCTTGGTAAAATCTTCAGAGAAATATTTTATGAACACTTGGCTTTCAGCAGATTTCCAAATGTCTTTTTTTTCTCTATCTGTATAGGTCATCATATAACTAAAAACCAACAAGAGCTATGGCCACCAAGTTTTCTCTTTATCAATGTGATAATCAAGCATAAGTTTTTAGCAAGGTGTTCAATTTACAATGTAAGTATAATGATAAACTGGAGTTTTATTTGTGTTCATCAGATTTGTCAAATCTTTGTGTTTTTAGCCAACAGACATCTACCTGAAAATTCCTAACCAGAAACCAAAGTTATCTTTTTTCTATGACTTCCAGTTACTGGAAAACACAACTTGAAAAAAAAAATATTGTGTTTATATTTGTAATTCAAGTAATTATTAACTAGGAAACATAAATAGTAACTTTTCAATGGCATTTATGGACATCTATTTTTTAAAAATCTAGAGTTAAAAATAAAAATAAAAATGAAGTATTTGAAGTCTTTTGTAAAATCACCATGTCAAATATTTAAAAATCACCATGTCAAATATTTAAATTACATATGAACCAAGATTTCATAATGGGAATGATTTTCAAATAAAGTCAGTCAATAAAACAGTTCAAATTCATGGTGTTTTCCTGGGACCAATGGCCCCATTTTAACCTATTGGAACAAGCTTAAAATTTTCAGCTAGTAGATTAAAAACACAGTAATGTCTATCATTTATTCATTTATTTACTTTATTTAATGTGTAATGATTCACCATGAAGATACAACCAAAAATAAAAAAAAGCATTTCTCTTGCAAATAATCAATATAATTTTCCTTTTTCAATGCACTCAATCCAATGCTTCCCCATTAACAATGTAATGAACATTATTCAGTGAAAATTTTAGATCAAAATTCAGCTAATAAATATCTCAGGCTACGGACTTATTGATCCCTTCTCGGATGCGTCATTGAAAACAAAAATGGTAGACAACTGGAATTTCCAATTCAAGGGAGGTTACTGTTAACAGATTGCATTCTTTATCGTCATTGTACTTGAAAATGAAATGAAATGTTATCATCAAATGTTACACAACTATTGTTCATTTCTTGAATCTATGAGTAATATAATTTTGTCAGAGTGAGAGCATGTATAACATACTCACAATGGTTCAATCTCTCTTGTAGCATGTTAGTGATTCTAGAGAGAAATAATTCAGTAACTGAATAGAATTTGCATTTCAATTTTTATTGCTGTGATTAGAACACCAAAAGTTTCTTTAATAGTTCAACTAATATTGTGTGTAACAAAAGTTTGTGAAAAGAACAGTGACCTCCCATCTAAATGGTAGGTTCTATAGTTGCAACCATTGTAGAATAAAAAGGCAGAGCAGATGAGATCAGGTTTTCCTTATTTCAACAATATAGTCATAGTACCTCAACCATGGACTTTCTTACACAAAAAAATCTGCAAATGCTGCCTTTTCCCTACTCTCATCTGCCTATTGATCTTGTGTAGAGGTGTTTCTTTGGACAACACTCACTGGTCACTCTATATGCATTTCCTGCATTGTAATAATACCATGCAAATGGTCAAGTATACTATTTTCATTCAAACACATCATGTCACTGAATGTGAGAGGCGTGTCCTTTTATTATATAACCATGTTCTTCTTTGGTCAAATCCCAATAGTGAAGTTATTACATGAGAAAATGAATGTGACCTTTAATTTTTCAGTCATCAACTCCTTGGTCAGATTAAGTCAGATGATAGGAGAGTATAAGTTTAGTTTATTGGGAAACAAGAAAAAAAAAAAAAAAAAAAACAAGTACATTGAATAAACAAAGCTGCAAGAGAATGATTTTTTTCTGGGTGGCTTTGCAGGAATAAGAATTTTACATGCAGATGAGATAAAAAAGAATCGATTTTAATGATATTATCAGTCACCTTACAATGTTTGATGACATTCCTTGAGGACCATTGCCTAAAATTAAAAGTGGATTAAAATCAGAGTGACTTATACAGGAGTGTTCCCACTCTCTTCCCAAGCCATATTGTACAGTGAGAGAGAGAAAGAGAGACCCCAACAAATTAAGGATGATTGATAGTAGGAAAGAATGCTTTCCAAGAAGTGAAAAAACAAACTGCAACCAGAACTTAAAATGTTTTTGATTGGCTCACAAGAAGGATAGTAAAAAGCAGTCATCCATTATTATCACTATAAATAAACTGAAATCCAGTTTAGTCATTCAACAAAAATGAATACAAATCAACATTACTCAGTTACATAACAAAAGATGCTTTTCACTATAGCTGTAGTATAATAGTAAACAGAACCTAATCTTAAAACCCATTTGAATGTATTATTTATATAAGACACATATACACCAAGAACTTTATAAGAATAAGTACTTAACACTCAAATACCTTAACAGGTTTGAAAATAATTTATTAATATTATTTTTTCTTTCGTTGGCATGGAGCAAAAGATGCTGTAATTTGTTAAAAGCATTCAATTTTCTAAGTTTCTATTTGAAATAAAAATCAGGGTAATTTTTAAAAATTATGTCAACAGAAAGTCATGAGAATGTTTGTTTAATGGCATATCAACACCTTATGGGTCATTTAATGTTGAAATTTAATTTTCTTGGGAGTTTTGAAGTGATAAATATATTTCATTTCACTTTCACAATTGAATACATAGTAGTTAATAGTCATTTTTTGTGCATTTACATGTTTGTGTGAACATAATTATTAGAGGTAGTGATATGTGTGTTTCATGTTGTAGTTGAAGTTATATTTTTTAATATAGTTTGATTTAAGAAATTACAGGATATTATATGAATTAATGTCATTAAAGAGTTTTTCATGTTGGTTGATTTTGTTTAGCAGCATATCAACACCTCTATGGGTCATTTAATGCTGAAATCTAAATATTTTGAATGCAACTGTATGCCTTCAAATACAGATAAAATGGTCATTTTACTATAAATAGATATTATTGGTAATTTTTTTTTATAGAAAAATGTATTTCTGGCATTTTTACTATAAAAATATATTTTTATACTTTCATAGTGTTTTGGTTTTGTTTGGAGGTTCACTATTTGTCCATAGCTGGGACCCTAACAGGTGCTACCACCCTAGGTCAGAGTGGACGTGGGAACAACAACAATTAAGAGGTAGTACCATGTTCCTCAAACCCTCCAATCTCCCGATCAGAGTCCTTGCTGCCAGATGTAGTTTATTGTCATATTCAAGAGAATGTAGCCAACCAAAGATCATAAGAGGGATTGGTCATGACTGCAGAGAAAAGCATTAACAAAGGATAGAATGATATCAAAAAAAAGAAAAAAAAAATTACACATTTGTTTTGTTAAAGGCCAGGTATGGGGAAACACGCAAAGTAACCATAATCAACCAATGAAAGGGTGCTAAGAGGGTCAGTGATAGAAGCAGCAAGTGAACAAAGGTATTTTGTGAATGATCAGTAGATTCAATAGAGTCAAGGTAAAAAGAGGAAAAAAAGATTGGAATGATTCTACAGTTTTTATGGTTGAAGATAAAAGTAAATAAATAGCCTTTGTCTATTAAAGCAGCAGTGAAACAGACTTACCTCCCTTGGTTAGCTGACTAGGTGGTAAGATGTAGCTTTGCTGGAGGATCCGAAAAATATACATAAATGCACAAAGGAAAAAACAATTTGTAAAACTTTGTACATTTTCTTAGCTTTTATAGCTTTTATGTAATACATTTTTATTACTTCAAATGTTATGGCGGACACTTTCTATTTGAAATAGATGCCCCATTTTTATTTATTAAACTGTGTTTATTACATCTATTGATCTGCGCTTTTGAGAAATCCTAGTTTTCCAGCATCTCCCTTTCTAGCGTGCTTTACCACTAGGCCATGAAAAATGTCACAGTAAAGAAGGCTCTATTATCCCTTTTTAAGTTTGAAGTAATAAAAATATGTCAGATTAAAAATAAATCTATTAATTCTTTAGAAATTGCTGGCATACACATTGTATGATGTACACATTTATCTTTGTGTATGGAATTGTTTTTAGCATGCTTCATATTGCAATTATACTTAAAAAATTAGCAGCTATAATTTGTACAAAACAAATATGAAAATGTATAAGCAAATATTAACACAGTTAATATATATATTTATATATAAGTTGCACACAATGATTGCTGGTGGTAATAAGACAGTGGTCAATGTATAACAGCTAAAATTTATACTACTAATAATTATATATTTTGTTCTTTACCATTTGCACAACTGAGTATCATGCACGGGGCAATCATCAGGTGCAGATTAAAAACTGATTGTTGTACAATTATTGATATTTATAAATTACTGTTTAGGTATCTCTAAATAAAAGCAATACCCAAGGTTTAAAATGCATTTTTCAAAATGAAAACTTTCTTGTAGCTTTTATTTTAGTTTTAATTTCAAGCTAAAAGATTTAATATTTCCAAAAAGCAAAATATTTTGCCATTGTTTCAATGTGATCTGGCCATAAGCCCTTATTCAGTCTAATGATTACATATATAGAACCGATACTGCAGACCCTGGTTTATATTTTGGCACTGGCTCTATTTAAGCCTGAACATAGATAGAGATACAATTTCAGTTTTTCTCATCACTACCCACTGACTTTATCACTACTCCCCTATTTAGCTTCAATGATTTTCTGCACTGATAAATTAAATATTTCTGGCCATTTTGTTTTAACCTAAAATTTATGTCATTAAGTTTTGGCAATCACTTTATTAAAAACTAAGGAGAGAAAATATTGTCAATTGTCAGAAAATTACCATTAACACAAAAATAATTGTAATAAAATTGTACTATTAGGTAGAAGAGACTACCAAAAATATTTCACTAATTTTAATTGTTCCATTATTATTTAGTAAATATGTTTTGTATTTGTATTTACCTGGCACACCTACACCAAATTAATGTACAATAATGTTTACTTTAGACCAAGTTGGAATTTGACTTTATTATTTGAATACCATACTTGACTCAAAATCATTTCTATTTACAAAAAAACACTTCAAAAGTTTTGACAAGGTTTCAGGTATAATAAGAAGCAAATTATTTTAATACCTTCAGCACCAATGTTTTTTGGTGCTTAGCACAAAATATTGAAAACATTAATATTCTTTAACACTGAATACATTAAATTGCATAAATTTGCATAAAAGATCAAAAGTAAATAAAACAACATGAAGCAAGATATTCAAACAGTATTCTCTTTATAAAAGATAAGAATGTATTGGACATTCAGATCTTGTTACAATCAAATAATCTTTTGAAAAAAAGTTTATAATCTACTTGATAGCTTTTACATATCTAATTAAAAAAAAAAAAAAAATTGGAACCAAAAAATAAAGTAAGAAAAAGCAAGAAGCAAGAGCCTTGGAATTTGTTTTTTCTAAAAAAGTATCAATAATTTACTGAATTCTGTCCTATAGTTAAAACAAGGAAAGTTGTCAGGAAGCTTTACCTTGTGTCTGTCGTGAAACTAAATTCTCTGTTGCTGCTTCTTGTTCTTTTCCTTGCTCCAAGAGATGTTTGTAGGTGTCAGTTTCTGATGCCAATTCTTTTATATGGACTTCAGCTTGGTTCCTTTCTAATTCAAGACTTCGAATCTTTTGTTGAAGGTTGTTTAATGCAGTCAGCAAAGCTAAATAAAACAAAAAGAACAAGGGTTTCTTATTTAATATTTGGGAGAAAACACATCATCAGAAAATAAACATTCACCAAGGGATACAAGCTAAAACAAACTATTTTCTCTGAGTGTATACACACACGCACAAAGCTTAACTTAGTCTAGCACAAGGTTATAGATATTAAGTAAACTTAGCCTAGTCAAGAGGCTCTAAGAAGAAATTGAAATCACAAGCAAACAAGACTTAGTATCTGTTTTTCTATGGTAGACATGCCCAATTTTTAAAGCTTAGTGAAAGCAAACACAAGCAATAGTAGGGTAACTAGTAAGTTTCAGAGTCACTTGCAAGATTCATTTTGTGTGCAGTAAGTGCTGTAGAGATACAACTTGACATGTAGTATTGATTATTGTCTAATAACTACAATGTGACACAAGCAATTTCATGAAATTATAATAAGAAAAACAAAAATGAAATATTCTGATGCCAACAATGTTATTAAAAAAGAAAAGAAAAAGAGTTTTCTGCTTTTAGATTTTGTTACTTATAGCATAAAAAAATAATATACAACCAATTATTAACGAGCGGTCTTGTTTATCTGTTCGATCTATTGATGATTGTTCAATGACGAACCGATGACAGCTACTACTGATGACCATAAATGACAATTTTTAAGTCTGAGATTTATAAAAAATTATTCTATTTGAGTATGACACACACTAATGGAAATACAATACATAAAATAAAATTATTTAGTGAAATAGTAAATGAAAAAAAGAAAAAATAATTTAAAATTTAAAGTTTACACTTTTAAAGCTGAACGGAAAATACAACCTGTAATAAACGAAATGTTATGAAAAGGCCACGTAAAGGGACAAAACCCTTAGATCACGTGACCTTGTTATAATAATGGCAATTTCTGTATATCATACATGGAAATAAGGAATGTATTAAGTAAAAAAATACAACATAAAAAATTATTTTAAAAAAAAGTAGCGCAACTAAATTTATTAAACTTAGCAATTTTGGATTCGTAAATTTTTTTTCTACTTAATTACTACATACATAATATCGAGGAACCTGCCTAATACAGAGCTTTACACGATTTAAAACTATTATAAATTATTATAATTAAAATTTCTTAAAAAACGAAAAAATTCTTGTAAAAATTAATTATTCATCAGAAAAAAATTATTTCTTCAGACAATAATGTCCTTAATATTACTTATTTACAAAAGCAATTAAAAGCTTTTCTAATTAAGTAATATCATAGTTTTATTGGATTCATTATTTTTCAATTCAGAGCAGATTTTCAGTTAAATAGCTCAAATTTGAAAAAAAAAGTAGGTTATTTACCATCTTCAAAGACTCCTACTTTTAACAAAAAAAAAAATTCAGGAACCAAAAAGGTTTTGGGCGAAATTTCATTAAATTAAGTAAATGTGGGGTAACATATTTTAAAAAAATATATTTTTTACCAAAATTTTTTAAAAAAAAATATTTAAAAAATAATTTAATTCATTTGTGAATAAGTCCTGAAAATTTCATTAAGATCGGACAATTATTTTATTTTTACAAGAATTTCCAAATCAATATGTTTTCAACGGTAAAAAAACGCAAAAAAAAACAATGTTATTTTAAATGTCACCGCGATGACGTAAACAAAGAAGACTTTAACCAAAATTTCGAACGTGTTAGAAAATATTAAAAAATTTCAAAAAATAATTAAAAAATACTTTTTTCTTTCATCTTAATAATAACATAAGCATTTTGATGATAATACTTTATTTTCTTTAAGTTTGTGGCATTTTTCATTTACGCTATGCTGTTTTTCCGCGAAAACAGTGGACATGCTTAAACTTTTCGGTACAGTATCAGTAAGCAAATGCAACTCAGACAAGATAAGGTTGATACACTGTTAAAGTGGGCATTAAAAGGACCCTGTACTTTGCAAAGTAGATTGATCCAGCAATGTCCAAGGCAGCGGTTAGGGCTGTAGTCAGAGAATGTAGAGAGTGTCAGTCCATTGACCTATCACTAGTACGATGGTCAAGAAGATGTGATGTGTTAGTGATGTGAGGACCCGGGCTGGGATGGACATCACTCATTACGATAGTAAACATTACCTGACACTGGCTGATTGTGGATCCACAATCTGGCAAGAACTGGATCAATAAGTTTCAGCCAGCGTCATCAACCATTTAAAAGGTCCTATTTTTTGAATAGGGACCTCCTACAGAACTTCTCACTGATTTCTGTAGTAAATCATTCAAGGCATTTTTAGACAGGTGGGGAATCCATACCCATTTCCACTGTGCACACATCCCCTCCAGTAACGGGATAGTTGAATGTTGCCACCAACGCATAAGGTGAATTGTTACGAGGAAATAATGCTTAGTGATGGAGGCTGTATATTGGCACATCATTACCCACAAAGATTACATGTCACCTTCCACTGCGCATGCCGACAGGATTTACCATAATAGAGTCCAGGCATGAGGCATTGATAAAACTCCTCCACCAAAGCAAGAACATGGACGAGTAACATATGGGTTAGGGGACCATGTGTGGGTAAAACCCCCTCAAAACCGATATATGCCATATCAAGTGGGATGTGTCACAGGGATTAGAAGCCCACATGTGATTTTCGTAGATGGGATGCCGCACTGTTTGAGAAATCTGCACCCCTTTGTCAGTTCAAACACATCAACAAGTGATGATAAGGGACTGTTTAAAACAAGAGATGCCCCAAGTAAGTCCTAGGAAGAAAACTATGATCAGCCTAGAGAAAATGCATCTGATTGTGAGGCAATTTATCAGGTGAGGCAACAGTAGTTTTTCCTTTGATAAGAAGCACAAGGCTTAAGAGATCCACCCCTGGTTGTCACCAATGTGATCATGAGATTTGGGGGGGGGGAAAGTCACTTATCAAGAAAAAGGAAAAAGGGCACATGTGTTCTGTACGATATGCCAAAGACAAAATAAGCAAAATAGAAACAAGTCAGTCACAGGTGTTGCCATAAATGCATCTTGGATATGCTAATATTGTGTGTCTTCTCCCACCTATTGACCAAAACATTGTTCTGTCAGTAAAAGCAGTTGGTGTTTTTGAATTGGGAAAAGTCATTTTATTTTTCTACCTTGTCCATCAGCTTACATGTTGGATTTCTGACCATTTATGTGTATTGAGATTTGTGACATTGGACCTGCGATTTGTGATTTTGACATTTCTTTCTGCTCTTGGATCTTTGAGTTTGGACTTGTGATTTGTTTATTTCATTGTGGAAGTGAGCTGCCATATCAACTTTTGAACAGATTTGCATGAATCAGGCTTGAATTTTATTTTTTCTGTAAAGCTATTTCAATTTTATTTTCCAAATAACACAAACTGTGAAAAGCTTAGTGTAAATCTTTAAAAAATAGTTAACGATAATGTTAGATATAAATTTTCATTGCATTTTCTAATATGATAAATATTCAAGTCATCTGAAGATCATGTGAGTGCGAAGGTCGGGTTACAACTAGTGCCATCCTTTCAGATGAATTAACATTTCAAGCATTTTTTGCTCTGTTTACGCAATCTAGTCTTTGAGCACTTTAAAACTGAGTTTGCCTTTAAGCCCATTTTCTTTTTTCAGTACTGTTGTTCTTGTTAAAGACTTTATCTGGACTAGGGTTTTTTGGTCTGTTGGCAAGTTGTCCATTGGTCCTATCAACAGTTTTAAATCTTCTTTAATATATATCATTTGCACAAAAAGTACACACATAGTAAAAAGTGTGAAAATGAGAGCTTTGAATATAATAGTACATATTTCTGAACTTTTACCTCTTCATGCATTAGCATAATCATCAGGCAGTGAAAAGAAGGAACCATTAACAGAATTTTGTGAATGATTCCTACCTTTACCACTTAATGATAGATGTTTATCTATATACTTTGAGTGACTTTCTTTCAGGTTATATTCAATCATTCTTTATACAATGCAAAATGCCACCTTTCGGTTATAGAATAAAATACTCAGATTCACAGTAATAGAGCGTTATGTTTAAATAAACTTTCTTTTTTTTTCTTCTTTTAATAAAACATTAAATCTGGTTTCACACATTGTTACCTAATTATATAAGTTAAATAGTCTTCCATCCATATTTTGGAATGCAATAAAAGATTTTGAGATGAGTTATTGTTATATTATATTATATATTATCATATGTTACATTGTTATATTAATCTTCTCCATAGTTCACACCAGATTGCTCAGCTGCCATAACCCACAGGAATCACTTTTCCCGGCTATACCAGTGTGACAGTTCTGATCACAACTGATGCCTATTTGTGTCCGTATGTAATAATTGTATATGTGTCCTCAAAAGGGTGAAGTCTTTGCTTGCTGATAGAATGAGGCACCATATAGCCTCCAACAACTTTGGTTTTCCTGACTACAGGCGGCTCTGTAATATATGTTAAATAAGAGTAAGTCTTCTATCACTCCCCTCTTCATTCAATTTGAGGTGTTAAAATCTTCAGCTGATAAAGCAGAATGTTTTGCTCATAAATTCTCCTCAAACTCTACTCTTGACACATCAGGAGTATCTTTGCTTGACTTTCCACTTAGAACCAAGTCTGTTGAGTGATATACATATAACTCATTCCTTGGTTTCTGCTGTCATCTCTAAACTGGATCCTCATAAAGCATGTGGATCTGATGGTATCCCTGCAATAGCCTTTAAGAAATATACTCCTGAACTGGCTCCTGTTCTCTCTAAACTTTACAATAAATGCCTGGCTGCTTCCTGCTTATTGAAATCATCTTCTGTAGTTTAAGTCTTTAAGAACACAGATGTTTGATCCTTCTATCAGCCTATTAACCTTTTACCTCTTCTCTGCATAGTACTAGAAGTCTTTTGAGTTACCACCCCTAATGATAATCATAGGTGGTACAAGATTTGAAAGCCTCTTCCTCTTTCCTTTTTGACTTTGGTAGTGACAAAACCTTCTCTTCTCATTCTTTTGGTATGTAAGTTGTTCAGACACATAAAGAAGGCTGCTTTAAACTCTTCACAACATTAACTTCTTTTCTCATTTTGTAGCATGTTCATTTAATATATTTATCAATGCTTCTTTGTTTAAATTCCATGTTTTTGTGTCTTATTTTGGCTCAGATCATTTGCAGGACAAATGTAGCAGAAGCCATTAAATATTTATTGAAAAATGTCTACACCTCACAACACATAGGCCCTAATCAACACTGAATTGGTTAATCACTTCACATCACAGGGTCTTCTTTCAGATAAGCAATATGGCTTTCACTTCTCTAGGTCAACTGCTGAAAGAGTCTATCAAATTTTAGATAAGAATGGTGAAGCTTGGGTTGTTGCTTTGGATATCTCAAAAACATTTGACAAGGTTTGGCATGCCAGGCTTCTTCACAAGTTGAAAGGTTATGGTATTTCTCAACAGACTTTTGAACCAATTCAATCTTTCTTATCAAATCACAAAATGAAAGTCTCCTAAATGGTCATTCTTCTAGATCTTTTTGAATTAATGCAGACATCCTCCATAGCTCTATCCGTTGTTGCTAATTTTCATCAATGACCTTCCTGATGACTTCTGCTCTCAACTTGGTATGTATGCTGATGACACAACTATTTACTCCTGTATACTAGAAAGTCCGATCAGTTCAATAAGGTAAGATCAGCAGCTGATCTCAAATGTGACCTGAAATCTGCTGTTAACTGAAGCAAGGAATGTTAACTTTAATGCCTCCAAAATAAAATTGCTTTCTATTAATCATCAGAAAGACCACTTTTCTTCCATCAGCTTGCTGATGCTAACCTCCAAGAGAGTGACTCTTTGTGCCTTCTTGGGCTAACATGAAATGGAAAGATTATATTGAATCAGGTCTGCTGCTAGGAAGTTGTTTCACTGTTGTAGTAGACAATCTATAGTTACATATTTATAAGTCTACCATTCATCCATGCTTTGAATATTGCTGCCACAGCTAGTCTGGAGCTCCTGCTATATATTTAGAGATTCTTGATAAAATTCTAAGAAAAATCTGCAATGTTATTGGTTCTGACTTGGCATCCCAGCTTCAGTGAATTTCTCACCACCATAATGTAGCTTCCCTCTACCTTTTCTATAAATACTTTCATGTTAATTGTTCTGAAGAACTTTGCTCTATGGTACCTAGACCTTACGAATTTAAGTGCAGTACTAGATTGGTAACAAGGTTTCATCAATTTACAATTGAATCGGCTAGATGTAACTGTAAGTTCTTTGTTAACAGTTTCTTTTTCTCACCTGTGAAACGTGTTTCCAGTTTCTTGCTTTCCAGGTAGCTTTGATCTCCAAAAATTTAAATGCAATGTCAGTCATTATCTACTGTCTTTTTTAATTATTCTCTCTCCATAATATTGTTTTTTCTTTTTCTTCTTTCACACTCAGTAATTTATTGTGTCTAAGTGGTTTTATTGCCTTGCTTGGGAGTGATAAAAAAAAAAAAAAGAACAGTAAAAAAGGAGAAGGAATCTTATCTTAAACTTTCCACAATTGTTTGCACTTTTGGACTTTCTTTTATAATATTTTTGTTTATATCCAGCTGAATAGTTATTAAAAACAAAACAAGAAAAGAATAGTCAAAACAAACACAATATTTAAAAATCCCTTAATATAGAATTCTATCATTAAATTACAAAAAGAGCAAAGAGGATTGCTTCCTAACAGTTTAAAAATGTTCTTACCTTGTGTGTTTTTCTGGGGGAAACTTAAAATTGGTTCTTCAGATGGACAACAGTAATCATCATTGATGAATGGCTTAGAGGTTGGATACTTGAGATATGAACCGATGCTGATGTCTGCAAGATTTTCAGGCATGGGGAAAAGAGAATCCAAGCTACCAGACGTTGTTGACATCTTGATATGAAAAAATAAAAAAAAATAAAAAACATTATATAAATCTGGGAAGAATTCAGTACCTAATCTATGAACACTAGATTTGTCTGATAAATTAAGATCAATACTAACGAGTTTTTTCTGTTAGACAAAATGCATATATATATATATATATATATATATATATATATATATATATATATATATATATATATATATATATATATATTTGTTCTTAGACTTAAGTAAACAACAAAAAAAAAAAAAAAAAACAAGCTAAAAGCACAGCTATGACTTTTTTTTTTACAAGCAAAAGGATTTCATGTTATATTTTCAAAATTGACAAGTCTCTCCTTTCTTCATATTTTAGATTTGGCTACATAATTATTTAATTAAAATATAATTTCAATTAAATACAGGTCATCACTGATTTTGCTGAATACAGTGTTCAGTATCCTGAGGATAGAGCCACATCAACTGTAAGTTTCTTAGATCTTATTAAAAACAGTGACAAGAAAAAGTTTTCTTTTGTTTGATGATCAGTTTCACCAAAGTGAAGATTGATTATAATGCATGCTTGATTTTAATGTGAAAAATTTAGTTACATGTATACCTGTAACATTTTTAATAAAATCTAAAAAAAATATTATATGTTATATATATATATATATATATATATATTTGTCTTATAGAGAAGGATAACTCTGAATTCAAAACCTGAGGTGGGTCGGTTGGAGACTAGTTTTCTGTATTCCACTCATCCAAAAAGTATGGTTGGTTCTGCACAAGCCTTCACCATCACCACTATAATCAAATCACATGTGCAGGTAATCTGGCTGTTTGGTTTTTAGAACTGAGCAGCTAGACCCTCCTATGCCAAAAAACAACAGGAGAGTCCTCTATATAGTTTTAAGGTATGCTATTTTTGTGAGTAAAAGTGCTCAATATCAGAGATAAAGCATTTTTTATACATATATATATATATATATATATATATATATATAATAATAATAATAATGAATTCTCTTGTCGGTTTCAACATATGAGGATCTGACAACTTAATTGATTCAGTTATGAAATTTTGTGCAATAATCTTAAGTGGCACTAAAGACCTGCTATTGATTTACAAAGAAGGCCACATATGGAGCAAGAGTAAAGATTGTGGGATGAGATCAGTTAGATTGGCTGACCTTTTAGATCTTGCTCTCACTTCTTGAAAACAATTCAGACAAGCTGATTGAAAACTGCTGAGTCCACTAAAACACATTGATCTCCATTCTACCCGCTCCAAGGCTAAGCGCTTGAGGGTGTTATGAGGTATATTGACAGCTGCCAAGTTGCTCTTCTGCTTGTCTTTGTATCTTAGCCATGGGTGTCCTACATTCCTGTAGCACTGATCTAACTGGCTGTACATTAGGATCTTGGATATCCTGTTATCAAACATTCTCAAGACATGACCAGTCCACTGTAACTGAGACTGTATGAGAAAAGTCTAGATTCCTCCAATATTACACCTGTTAAACATGTCTATGTTAGATGTCCTATCTTGAAGGTTAACTCCACAGATGGCACGCAGACAGCTTTTATGGAAAACATCCAGCTGGGGTATATGGTACCTGTATGAAGTCCACGACTCTGAGCCATACAAAAAGATGGCAAGGACAACAGCTCTGTAAATCCAAATTTTCATATCCAGTTGAATACCCACCTGCTCATTCCACAAGCGATGGCAAAGTTTGCCGAAAAAAAAAAAAAAAAGAAGGTAGCCTTAGCAATCAAATGCGTGATTCCATCATCTAAAGTTCCATTGTAGTTGACTTTGCTACCAAGATAGGTGAAAGACTTTACATAGTTCAGGGCTTTGTCTTCTACTTTCAATGGTTTCTCTGGAAATTTGTAGATTTTTTTGTGGTTTTTGTTTCTCACCACAGAATTGCTTCGGGGTAGGACAAGGTTGGTGCACTACTTCAGTTTTCTTTATGCTATAGTATAAGAAAAAATATATATATATATATATATATATATATATATATATATATATATATATATATACACAAAAACACAAGACAAAATATATATTTTTTGCTACTTTCTACTCAGAAGAGTACACTGAAAACATTTGTAGACAGCCAATAATATTTGTCTAATTTTAATAAAATATCAACTAACTTTAATAAAACCCAATTAATTAATCATTATTAATTGTTATCACTCTTAATGCTATATAAATTCTGTATGTGATTAAAATATTTCACTGTCTTGGAAAATATAAATCTTTTTCTATTTTGCAAAAACTAAATGCTGAAGACACCATTAAAAACATTTTGTTAACATAAGAATTCTGGAAATTTTTACACATGCATAATACTTTTAAAAAATAAATGTAACTTCTCTTTTGAGGTTTATTAAAAATCAAATACAAAAATACATCATCTTTGCAAACCTTCTACAATATTTTTTTTTATTATTACAATCATGGAAAGAATTGCAACAAATTTTTATGGTAAGAAGCAAAAACAAAGCTCTAATAAATTTTTAGAAATGAATTCACTATTAGAATAGAAAAAATATTACTCTTGTATTTAATAATAAAATAAATTAAAATAATGAATACCAAATCAGTTGTTTTTGGTCCAACTCAACCACTTCATAGGCAACTATGTGAGTGAAATTTAGAAAATACAAAGAAATTTAGTAATATGAAATATTTTCAAAAATTATTCTATCATTTTTAGGTATATTCAAGATTGCCCAGACATTCCTTTTGTATACAGTTTTGATAAATCATTTATCATCAGCTGATATATCAAAACTATTTAACAAACATTGACACTTAATTCTATTCTTCATTTCAGCTTGCAACACTAATACTTTTTTATCACATGATAATTGCAGATTTTTACATTTACAGAATTATGAAGATATTTATCATTGCTTGGCTGGATTTAATATATTCTTGCATATGACAAACAGCCTTAATATTCATATCAATCTTGTTAAATAGAATAGTGGATTAAGGAATAATTTGCAATTATTTTTGCTTTTATTTCATTTATTACACCATGATTATTATATTTATTTGTATTTATAAATGTGTAATATAATAACAAAACCAAGAAGTTTTATTAGACTAAGTCAGCTTTAGCACTGAAAAACATTATATATATTGTAATGCAGAGTTACAAGTAATTTTATTACCACAGCCATGCATTGATTATTATTTCTTTCCACGGCCGCTTAGGTTTTTAATCCATATTCATTTGTTTTTGCATTACTATCCTATAGATTGTCTTATATTTACTTTCTGTATTTACTTACCTCAAGTTATATTTATTAATTTTGCATTTTCTACTCATTTATTTTTTATCAATTGATAGTTTAGGCGTTAGTACTTTCAAAACGGTAGTATAGATTATTTTTATTGTATGTTATAAATAATGGCTTCATAATCTCCAATTACTTTAGCCTTAAATCCTGATCTATTTTTTCTTTCTGATATCTGTAAGCATTCTGAAAGCAAAGGAAATGTTTGTCGCAGATTAATTCCACAATGCAGAGAACAAATCACTGTAAGTTCAGACTCGAATATCAGGGGCAGAAAGAAATGCCAAAAACTCGATTCGCAGGTACTATGTCACAAACCCCAATGCACATAACCAGTCAGAAAAATAACTCACTCTCTGATGAACGCAATAACCAAAATACATCAATTTTTCCCCTTGATTCAAGAACACCAACTGCTTTTATCGGCCGAACATTTTTTTCATTCATCGACAACTGGAAGAGGGCACCAAATTTTTGCATATCAAGATACTTTTATAGAGACTCCTGTGACAGACTTGTTTTTAATCTAAATATTCCATCTTCAGCATGTCATGCGGAATACGTGCCTTTTTTTTTTGGTAAGTGATTTTCTTTTTTGCCACATTTTCCATCGTAGGATACACGTGATGCGCTGTCGCCGTTTTCTTCACTATAATATCTTTTTCCAGTTATCAAACTTTTCAATATTTGTGTTTGTTTATTTATGTATGACTCTTTCATAATGTCTTGCTTTCTAGTATTTTTGTTTATCTAAAGTTACATGTACATATATGCTTGTATTTAAAAGAAATTTTTTTTTTTAAGAAGCCTCTAAAACACATAATGTATGTAGTATTTATATGTACATTATATATGTTCCAAAGGTTGTCATAGTGAGGACAGGCATCCACTGTGTAAAATGCTCCCATGGCATTCATCTGAAATGGCTTCTGATAACTAAGGTCATCTCCAAGCCAAAGGCATACCACTGGTGCCTCATAACCAGCTGTTTTGAGTAGATAGAGCTTGTTAGCCTGGGAAGCTAGTCCAATTTAAGGAAAGGAAAACACTGATTTTAAAACTCCACTACCTTGCAGCTGTATACAAGCACAGAAATGGCTATGAAAATACATCCAGAGTGGAATTCTGAAAGCAGCTGTCTGTCGAGTCTGACAAACTTTCAGTTGGCCCCAGATGTAATGCCCTATTCCTTTGGATCTTGTCAGTACAACGAAGAGGTATGTAGTCTGGGCAGTGCACAGCTTCCATATGCCTACACTCTGGAGAGTGTCACTCCAGTCTCATCACCAAAGGACTGAATTTTGACCAAACTGGGCACTATTAGTATCTCACAAGATAAACAGATGTCTACTACTAAGGAAGACTGACACAAGGCTATAATGGTGCATAACACAGTAAGCAACACACTCACTAACAACAGCTTGTGAGACTAATTAATTTTCACTTCATGGGAAGTGGTCAAGACTAAAAAGATTATGATCAAAATTAATCATTCAGCATATCTTTAAAAAAAAAAAAAAAAAAAAAAAAAGTGTTTTTGTAATTGTCATCAGTAAAGTAATTATTACTGTTTTCAGTTCATAAAGATATTGTAAGTTGTTAAAAGAATCCACCTGTGGAAAAGAGGTTGCAGAATGGAAAATAATTTAATACCCACAAGGCTGTGGAATAGCTTTTGAACTCGTCCAGATAAAGTA